GCAGGGTGTGCCCATCGGGTTTTGGGGATGCTTCTGGGGCACAGGATGACCCCAGTGTGGTTTTGGGGACAGTCCTGGTGTGGAGGGTGTCCCCATCGGATTTTGGGGATGCTTCTGGGGTGCAGGGTGTCCACAGCATCGTTTTGGGGACAATCTTGGGGTGCAGGGTGTCCCCATCGGGTTTTGGGGACAGTCCCGGGGTGGAGGGTTTCTCCCACACCCAGTTTCAAGGCAGTCCCCACCCCGGTGCTGCCGGCATGTGGCCCTTGCCCGGCTCCCAGCCCACCTGTTGCAGGGGCTCGCCTGGGACCCCCAATTCCCAAGCACCTCCCGCGGCATGGACGCTGCCGCGCATGGCCCAGCTTCCTTGGGCTCCATGACTGTACCCCATCACCAGAGCAGTGACCCCCAGCGTTGCCTTGGCTTGGACGTCCACTCTTCCCCACGTGTTTTACATAAACCGCCTTTATCCGCCTCGATTTCAGAGATCGGGGCTGCTGGCCCCTCAAAACCAAATATTTATGCCTGCCTCTCGTTCCCCGCTCCTGCGGTATTGCTAATATAGCGAGTGTTTAAAGCCTGGCAGGGTGGATGAGGGAGGGGAGGGGTGAGGACGCGGGATTGATCTGTGATTTAAATAGAACTTTTTTTTTTATGGTAACCAAAACATGTAGCTTTCCCTGTGAATGGTGGGTGGGTGTGTCAGACCCAGCACTGCTGCAAACCGCGCGCCACTGAAGACTGCTCAGGGCATAATTATCGTCTGCGATTCCTTTCCCCCTCTTTTTTTTTTTTAAAAAACCTTTTTTTTTTTAATGTCTAACGAGTGATGCTGAGTCTGCTGCATTCCAGGAGAATGACTCACGCGTTCCCTCTGACCCGGGATGTGTTCCCCGTGTTTAAGTGCTTTTACTTTGATGGTGGGGTGAGCAGATGAGCGTGAGGTTGGCTGGGCAGCAGGAACGAGAAGGGATTGCCTTGAAAACGAAGCTCTGATGTTCCTCCGAGAGGTCAAGATAAGCGGGGCTTGACGGTTTTGACCGTTAGATCCAGCCTTAGGCGTGCGGGCAGAGCTGGAGGGGTGCGCTGCGGCCGCCGGGGCTCGCTCAGGGTCACAGCACCCTGGACTGGCTGTGCGAAAAAGCAGCAGAGGCTCGGCTGGCTGGAGCAGGGAAGCGTCGGGTTTGGCAGCGCTCGTGTGGTGCCAGGTGCTGAACGGACCTAGAGCAGCCACAGCCTCTGCCCCAAAGAAGCTGCTGCGTGAAAATGGCATTTTTGGGCCTGTGAAACGAGAAATGGGGTGCAGGGTCCTCGGGCGATGCCCAGAGGTTGGGCAGCACCTAACCCCCCGACCTGCCCTGCCGCACCAACGGCTGTGGCGGCTCACGCCCGCGGTTCTGCAGCCCACGGCACCGGCTGGCTCTGCCACCTGGGCTAGGGCTCTGCTCCTGGTTTTTGCTGAGGTCTGCTAGGGAACTTCTTTGGGATGTGGGCAGCAGGAAACAGCAGGAACTCCAGGCTGGGCTTTGCCAGGCTCTCTGCGCCGTCGGAGCCAGCATAGTGTCGTAGGTGTTTCTCAAAAGACAGGAGAGCAGCAGTAAGTACACAGCCTTCTGCAGGAGAGCATGAGGCATCACCTGGTTGTGCCTTGGGAAACCTGATTCAGTGTCTGCAAAGATCTGTCTTGTACCAGGAGACTTCAGCCAGCTCGGAGGGAGGATTTTCTGGCTGTGGCTAAAGCTTTGGATAGCGGGAGCTGGTCCTGCCTTCCCACGCTCGGGCGCTGTGCACAGAGAGCTAAGCTGTGCCGTGGGCACGCTGCCGGAGGCTCTGCTGGGGCCGTGATCAGCGCTGCTCCTTGGACTCGGGCAGCGGGGAGGCTTTTCCAATGTTTCCATGCTCTGTTCACCAGTGAACAACCAAGAAAAGTACCTTTGCTGCCTTGAAAATTGCACCCTGGTGCTGGCTGAGCCACGGGTGTGAGGAAGCTGCTGGGTGCTGCCGCTGGGCCAAGCTCCGGCAGCAGCAGGCGTGGGGGGCTCGTTCGTGGAGCAAGGTCCTGGCTCAATCAGGCTGGTGTAAAGTCTCTGACGTGCCGTGACGCTGCCGGTTCTCCTCCCTCTCGTGTCCTCCCCGTGGTGCCACCTTCACGACTTGCTTCTCTTTTCCTTTGTAGCCTCCTCTGGTCCAAGCCATCTTCAACCGCGATATAGAGGAGGTGCGGTCGTTGCTGAATCAGAAGGAGAACATTAATGTATTGGTGAGTGCTGCCCGGCTGTGCTCGCTCCCCTTCCCTCACGCAGCTCTCCCTCGCTTCCTTCACTGCAGTGTGGCTCTTTAGCAGAGGGGAGGGCAGAGGCTCAGCCCGTGAGATGTGGGTGCTGCTAAGGGGGGGACTTTTTTTGGCTAGGATGGTCAGAGCTGGGGTTCTGAAACAAATATTTCTGGATTCTGCTCCCGGCTCAGCTGCCATTTGCTGTGCAGCGTTGTCCTGTTGCCTCAATCTTGCCATCTGTAAAATGGGGCATTTGGAAGACTTGGTGTGTGGGAGGACTTTTCACAGAGGCTCAGCTTAGCTGCCTTGCCAGTTTACCTTTTTCTCCTTTGGGGTGGTGACCCAAAATAGTTTGGTGTGAACGCAGCCGGTCTGCCTTGTGATAAGGTTGTTCCCCAGGGTGCAAGGAGGATTTGAGCTACGAGGGGTTTCTGCTGTGCTCGTCTTAAGCCTGATGGCAGAGGGTGGTTCTGACGCTCGTTTCGGAGCAGGCAGGGAGGCTGGGATAGGCGGCTGCCATTCAGGCACATCCCTCCGGGTCCTGCGAGCGGCCAGGCTGGCTCCTGGGAGAGCAGCCCAGTCTGGCGGCGATGAGCGTGGTTTGTCCTCACGTGGAGCGTGGGGACCAGGCTCCGGCAAGGGAAGGGGTGAAACCTGCCTGTGAGCGTTCCCGTCTGACTTGTCAGCGTGCCTTCCCTTGATCTGGTTTATGAGCTTCCCGCTAACAAATCAGCGGCAGATGTGCAGATAAGAAACGCAGCCTGCTGCGACGCAGGCTGGCAGGTTGGCCGGCTCTGCACCGGCCCAGGTCCGCCTGACGTGGTGGCACAGTTGGACCGGTGCTGCGTCAGCAGTTACCGTGCTCTCAGCCCAAAAGCCGGGCTAAGTCGTGAGCTCTAGGCAAGAGCAGCCTGTTCTGGTTCACTGTCTCCTCCGAGCTGTGGCATTAACGAGGGCTCCGGTCCGTGCTGCTGCCAGCTGTGCTGCAGGCAGCTGCTGGCTTTTTGGCACACTCCTGTTTGTTTCGCTGGGCACTTGGTCAGGGCGTTCACCCAGCCCAGCCTGCGGAGCCGGGGCCGGTGCACCCCGATCCTCATGGTGTTAAACCCTGAGGTCAAGGGCGGGCGCTGCGGACGCTGGCCGGCATCCTGGAAAGGTGAGGGCAGCCCCGCGCTGGTGCCCGTGTGCCAGCAGGACTAATGATTCGATCGTATCTTAGCTTATTTTATTATACAGAGATAGCGTGGGGATTTTTTTCCATGACTGCTTCGGCTGGGGACCCGGCAGCTCTTCGTGCTCTCTTGTCAGGAGAGAGGGTTGGGATTGTTTTGCTGAGCTTTCGCGCAGCTGCTGGACGAATAAAACCACAATTGTTAACACTTAATTTCCTTTTTGTGTGCAGGTTTAGAAATGTTGTTGCTTGTTCAGTGACCTGCCAGCTGGGTTTCACTTTCACATCCTCCTTCCTGGTTGTGCCAGCACAAGTTGTAACAAAAAAAAAAAAAAGAGAAACCACCACCATTTTCCAAACAGTTTTTAACCTAATGAAAAGCAATTACATTTTTTCCCCCCCGAACACAAAATACGGGGCTTGAAACGAGTTGTGCTCGTCTGGCTTTCTACTTGTTTGCTTCCTGGCTTTAGTACGTGGCGTGTTCCCTGAGGAAAGCCTGAACCAAATGCCTGGAGGCAGAGGTTACCCAGGGCCTGGCCCTGAGTAAACAGAAGTGAAAGGTATTTTTAATTGGGTTAATCCAATCTAAGATCAGAGAGGGGCTTCTGCACCTTCCCGCCCTTCAGCAGCCGGCGGGTCTGAGTCTGGTTTCAGAGCTGTCGGTAATTCTGAGTGGTTTTTATTGTTGGCCGAGAGGATAAGAGTGTGCAGAATGGGACAGCCTGTGCGCTGCCAGAGCACGGCCAGGCTTTCATCTCGCATCGCAGAGTGCTTTGCAGACGTTCATTAAGTCCCGAGCACCGGAGCCAGGTCGGGTCGGTCTCTGGGGAGTCAGCGGGGGGATGAAATGAGTGGCCAGGGCTCTCACAGCCTCCCCGTCTTGTGCTGGGGTTATGGCCCGGGTACCCTCTGCTCTGGCCACCAGCTACACCACACCCCAGCACCCGTGGAGCTCCGGAAGGGCTGCGCACCCCTGCAGCGCTGCGGGAAGGTGCTGGGTTTATGCCATTTTCTCCCTGTCCCATGTGCCGAGATGCTGCCCACACTTATGGGCGTTTTGGGGCAGACTGGAGTGGAGGAGAGATTGTGCTGTGAGAGATCTCCCTGCCCTCAAAGCTCACAGAGGTTTTTTGTTTCTTACATTCCTGTTCAGGACCAAGAAAGACGAACGCCGCTGCATGCTGCTGCCTACATAGGAGATGTTGCAATCCTTGAGCTCCTAATACTGTCAGGTAAGGGCCAAGGCTCAGGGCACTTGGCTCGAGTGCTGCCGCTGCCCTTAAGGCATCTTTCTTCTGGCCTTAGGGGTGCAGAGCAATAGTTTTTGGTCACCCTCCAAGCAATCGTGTGCTCGTGCTTAAGCCAGTGGGGTTGCAGCCAGGGGAAGATTAGGAAATGTTGCCATAATCCTAAGAGGTTTGTGCAGACGGGGAAGCGTCTCAGAGCTGAAATAGCAGAGGTGGAAACCAAGCCAGGAGGGGGATGTGTGCAAGGTGTTGGAAGGAGGTACTGGAGGAGGGTGCAGTGGGGATGCTCGCCTCAGAGATGCCTTGGGCGGCAGGACGCTCAGGGGAGCAGAGTTTCACTTGCTCATGGAGAGGGGTCAGCTAAAAAACAGGGGATTTTACTCAGTTTTGGCTTGTGTTACTTGGTGTAAAGCTGCCCTTCGTTTCCCTCCAGAGACACTCGGTTCTGTGCCCGTGCGGTGCAGACAGGGAAGTCTCCTCGACCGCTGTTCGCCAGCGCAGTGCCTCGGGGCACCATGGGCTTCGCAGCTGCTTGCTGGTGGCGTGGGGGAACCCTGAGGCTGGGATGATCCTACGTGACCCTGACAAGGAGAGACTTGGGGAAATCCTTTGCTGAGGGCTTGTTAAACAGGACTGGGGATGTTCAGCTCCATCTGCAGAGCACGGGATGCCCTTACGTGCCCCGTGTTGATTTTTGCATGCCTGCCTGCTGAGTTCTCAGCAGCAAAGAAAGGCAGGGGCTTCAGGGGTCGTGGGACCTAAGTGCCTAGCACAGATCTGGAGCTGGGATGGCACTATTCTGTCATCTTCCCTTTCTAATACGGAGATGCAGCCCACAGTGACCACAACTCACAACATGAAATGCTCTGGTTTTTTGCCTCAAGTGGCCTTGTTTTACAGCAAGGAGCAGAACTGCTCGCTGGGTCTTTGCTGGGGATTTTTTTGGCTCGGGGGAAGATGGCACTCTGGGATACGTAGTCTCTTCAGTCCCGCAAGGGATGTAGCTTGCTTCTCTTGCAGTTCAGAGTCTGTCCTCAGTAAAGCTCAGTGCAGGGTCCCCTCTTGCAGCAGGACTGGCACTCCTGCCTGGCGGGTGCCTCAGGTGGCTGCAGACCTGCCCTGGGACTCTGGAGCGGGGGCAGCTGGTCACTTCTCTGCCCCCGACCGCTCCTTTTGTTCTTCCTCAGGTGCTAATGTTAATGCGAAGGACACTGTTTGGCTCACCCCGTTACACCGCGCTGCGGCTTCTCGTAACGAGGTAGGTTCCCTCTGGCTCTGTCTGCTCCTTGCCTGGGGGTGGTGGGCACTGATGTGAGGAGGGGACTGTGCTTCTGCTTCTCTTTTCCATCTTGCCCTGTTTTGGCTGAGATGGGTGGTCTTATTAGAGCGGTGAGGGGACAAAAGCATACTTCAGAGGCCAAAAAAATCTCCTTAGTTCCCTTCCCTCCAGCCTTCAGGAGTCAGCCACGTGGGTTTTCCCCACAGCATCCTCCTCCCTGCCTTTCCCTGCTTCCCCAGGGCTTTGTCTAATCCAGCTTTACATTTCTTTGAGGGATGATGGGGCTCTCACCCTTTCTCTTGGGAGCTGATTCCAACGGATCTTGTTGGAAAGATTTCCTGACATTTAGCTTTTGTGGGTTTAACTTCATCCCACTTAACTTTGTCCTGTTTTGAGTTACTGGAGAGCAAGAAACTCTGTGGTCATCTTGGTTGGAGCCAGGGGATCAGAAGCCCCGACTCTGACATGCAGGGCATGTTACCACACATCGACTGGTTGCGTGAATTCTCTTAATCGGCAGCAGACACAGGATGAAACACATTAGTGTAAACCTCTACTGAGGCGTTTGCTGTGAACATGTGTGGACGGTTACTGTGGGTCGCTAAAATATGGGAGCTCAGCAAGCTGAGACTGTTTTGCTGTCAGGTCTGAAGTGCTGCTTGTCTGTGAATTTGAGCACAGTCGTTTGCTTCTCTGCCTCAGCTCAGAAGTGCTGCAGAGCCACCTCCCTCGTTCTGTTCTTCCCTGGTGCTTGGCACAGGGCTCCGCCAGTGCCCTGCATGCCCAGCTCCTGAGAGGAGCCTTCCCAAAATGCCTTCACGACTTTTCCTGCCTAGAGCCTGCTCTCTAGGACTGCTGGGTTTAGGTACTGCCTGGCCGTTTCGTGTGCTTCTCCCAGCCGGGAGCGGTATCGGCTAGCCCTGGGAGAAAAGAGCAGAGCAGTGAGCCGTGGGGCTGGGATCATTGGAAGCGCTGCCCCGATGCTGCGTGGAAGTGGACAGCCTGCAAACCGTAGCGAGGAAGATGTGGGGTTGCAGCAAAAAACCTTTACCAGCAAAAGGGGGAAATAGTTATCAAATATAGGTCAGTGGATCACGTTTGTCATCCCCGGGGTGCTTCGCACCTCGTGAGTCATGGAGGAACACTCACTCACGGTTCAATCGCGTGGCTCGGAAGTGTTTCTCCCACGGAGACGTGTTTCACAGCTGCACTCGGGAGGGATGAGCCCAGCTCATTCAGGTCCCACACACCAAACTCCAGCCTGGAAGGAGCTGGAGCAGCCCAGGTGAGGGCTGGAGGATTTGTGTAAGGAAGATTCCTCTCCCTGCTCACTTGGAGCCACTCTCACGCTATCTTTACCTGTGCCACCCTTTCTCTGTGACAACGTGCTGAAACACAGCCATACGTGGGCTTCAAAATGTCATTGGGGACATGGAAGCAAACAAGCCCTTTCCTTTGACGGAGCGGGGAGAAGCCGTACTTGTGGGCATGCGGTGCAGTTTCAGCTCAGCCCCCCGAGCGCAGCTCTGTCTCTCAGGGCTGTAGGCTGGTGTGTTTCTGGGCAGCCCTGTGTGTGCTGAAAGCATGAGGTGGACCGAGCTGCAGCTTCCCCCACCTGGCTGGAGGGCTCCTGCGGGCTCCAGCAGGTTGGGTTAGAGCTCTGCTTTCCTCTGCTCCTGCTAGAAGGCACTTCACCTCCTCCTGAAGCACTCGGCAGATGTCAATGCCCGCGACAAGTATTGGCAAACACCTCTGCACGTCGCCGCTGCCAACCGGGCCACCAAGTGCGTGGAGGCCATCATCCCACTGCTGAGCACTGTCAATGTCGCGGACCGCACGGGCCGCACGGCGCTGCACCATGCCGTGCACAGCGGCCACCTCGAGGTAGGCAAGGCGGGTTCAGGCGCAGGGGGTCCCGTGTGCGTTCCCCTTCCTGGGTCCGGGCTTCGCAGGTGGCAAAGGCACCTCTGCCCGCACAAGCGGGGAGGAATGGCAGCCTTGCCTCTCTCGCCACTTCTCCCCATCTAGATGGTGAACCTGCTGTTGAACAAAGGGGCCAGCCTGAGTACTTGCGACAAGAAGGACCGCCAGCCCATCCACTGGGCAGCTTTCCTAGGTAGGCTTTCCCCACGCGCATCGGTCTGGTTTCATCTCCCACGTTGCTCTCTGCCTACGGATTCACCTTTCAGGGTGGTGGGGTCCCCAGAGGCCGCTGTGCCCAGGTCTCTGTTTTCCGGGGTTCCCTGGCTCTTAGCGCTGTCTCTCGGCCAGGGCATTTGGAAGTTCTGAAGCTGCTGGTGGCCCGGGGAGCTGATGTGATGTGTAAGGACAAGAAGGGCTACACTCTGCTGCACACGGCGGCAGCCAGCGGCCAGATCGAAGTCGTGCGTCACCTGCTGAGGCTGGGAGTTGAGGTAAGACCCCTGCGGCTGTGAGCAGGGTGGGCTCAGGTGCGGCCGGTCTGGAGGCAGGAGCAGGAGAGGGTGCTGGGTGGTGACAGGAGCCCTGGCTGGTTCTCAGCTGCCTTTTTTTCTTCCTCAATCCCCAAATCCTCTGGGGTTTGCTGCTCCCACAGATCGATGAACCAAATTCCTTCGGTAACACTGCACTTCATATTGCCTGTTACGTGGGCCAAGATGCCGTGGCCAACGAGCTGGTCAATTACGGCGCCAACGTCAATCAGCCTAACGAGAAGGGCTTCACCCCTCTGCACTTTGCTGCCGTCTCCACCAACGGGGCCCTGTGCCTGGAGCTCCTCGTGAACAATGGGGCCGATGTCAACTTTCAGGTCTGGCACTGAGCGGTTGAGCTTGGGGATGAGGGGAGTGGGGACCCGCTGCCTGATGGCAGAGCTCGGGGAGCATGGTGGGAAGCCTGATGCGACATGGCTTCTGCTCTCTGCAGAGTAAGGAAGGGAAGAGCCCTTTGCACATGGCTGCCATTCACGGACGGTTCACGCGTTCACAGATCCTCATTCAGAACGGTGAGTGGCTTCTTCCTCCAGCCCTGGGTTACCCGAGCCTTTTCTTCTGCTTCTCAGCACCTGCCTCCAGGACCTCCCTGGGAGTTTGCTCAGGTTTAAGAGCTCTACAATTATCACTCAAATTCACTCTGTGCTCTTGGGGCTGTTGCCAGTGGCCCTGTGCTGCTCGGAGGTGGCAGGGAGTGTGCAGGCCCTCAAGGGCAGCGAGGTGCAGACGAGGGGACTCAAATTCCAGCCAGGTCAGGGCTGCTGTGGCCAAAGAACATTGCAACTGCCACGTCCAGCCTGAAAGACAATATTCTTGTAAGAGGGCTGCAGCCTTGGCAGACACCCCAGGGGTTCAGCCAGAGACTTCCGGGGCTGAACATATCCCCTCCTGGGGCGAGATCTCATGCCCCGGATTTGCAGGGTACAAGAGGGCTCTAAGCTCAGACAGCAGTTTACAGTTCTTGCGCTGCACGATGCTGAATGGACTTGAGTTATTAGCTGTGTCCCTGAGACGGGAACGTGGCCATTGGAACAGCCTGGGCTGCTCGGGACTAGAACGCAGAGACTCGCTGGCAAAGCACTTGGCTTTTCCTTTCTAGGCAGTGAGATTGACTGTGCTGACAAATACGGCAATACCCCCCTCCACGTTGCTGCTAGATATGGCCACGAGCTGCTAATTAGTACTTTGATGACGAATGGTGCTGACACTGCAAGGTAAGGAAGGACTCTTCCTCCCTTTCCCTGCCCTGGGCAGAAACGATCCATCCTGACTCCCTTCTTGTCTCCTGGCAGGCGTGGGATCCACGACATGTTCCCTCTGCACTTAGCTGTTCTCTTTGGATTTTCAGACTGTTGTCGTAAGCTACTTTCCTCAGGTGAGTGTCTCCGCCGCCCCTCCTGCAGTGGGGGCACTGGGGGGACCCTCGAGCTTCCCCCTGACTCCCTGCCCCTCCTGCCACCCAGGTCAGTTGTACAGTATCGTCTCCTCGCTGAGCAATGAGCACGTGCTGTCTGCAGGCTTCGATATCAACACGCCTGACAACCTCGGGAGGACTTGCCTCCACGCTGCTGCTTCTGGAGGGTGAGCTGTGCACGGGGCGCTGGTCCCACACTGCCTGCAGGAGGGTCACTGGCTGCCCCCAGCCCAAACCGTAACCCTCCTCTCCGCCCGGGAGCTACAGCGTGGGCAGCCCTGTGCAGTGCTTTGGTCAGGGCTGGGAGTCGGACCCCTGCGTGCCGTTCTCTCTGGGAGAGAGTGGAGACCTGTGTTTAGAGCATGAATGAAAATGGACACCTATTGGCCCTGTTCTGCCACTGACTGACTCACCCCGGTCGCTCCCCTCCGTGACTGTTTACCCTTCTTTAAAATAGGGCTAAAATGCTTCCTTGGCTGGGGGTTCGTAAAGGGCTGGCAGGCTGATGCCTGAAAAGCAGCAGGGATTTAGCTGGCTGTGTAAATGCCTGATGTTGTTTGCCAGGGAGTTTGATTTCATGCAGCGCGTTGAGAGTGAACTCGGCTGCCGCGATACGGCAGAGGTGAGAGTCCCATCGAGGACCTCGTTTCTGTCGTGCCTGTGCGATGCTTGAGAGCCGGTCGCAAGAGCCGACCCTCGGCAGCGCAGCGCTGTTACCCTGCCTGAGCGGCAGGAACAAAGCACTGACGCAGAAGCCAGAAATCCTAGATCTTTTTTGCAGCATAAAATCCAGTGTGTCAGCTGCACTGACGCCATGGCTAATGTCTCTCTGTAATTGCCTGGTTGGTTGAGAGCTCCACGCAGTGCAGGATAGCGCTGGTAAGGCAGGAAGCATGAAGGGTTATTTCGCTGGAGTGCAGGGAAGAGCTTTGTGTGTGCAGCATCCAGCCATGGCTGCGGCTCTTACACTGCCCAAAGATGACAAACTGAATTGAGCTTTGGCACGTCCAGGCTGTGCGGGTGAGAAGCGTAGCT